GGACGGTGGCATTCCCATGGCACCTTCAGACCCCCCCCCAGCCTCTCGACCCCCCTTCCCTGGGTCCTACCTTTGATGCCGGCGGCCGCCCGACCCTGCCGCCCGGAGCCACCGCCGCCGTAGGAGGGCTCGGGCCGTCCCAGCGTGTCCTTCTGCCGCGCCACGGCCACCGCGATGCCAACGGGGGGTTGCCGCACCTCGCCCTCGCCGCTGCCCATCCCGTCGTGCTCCCGGCCGCGGGCGCAATCCGGCCGTTCCAGTTCCCCCTGCCCTTTTCCAGGGGGGAACTTGGCTTCTTGGTGAGCGCAGCTGCCCTTGACGCCCCCCAACCCTACGAAGGGGGGGCCCTTCTGCCCCCCCAGCAGCGCCTGGTTGCTGTATTTCAGCAGGTTCTTCATGGCCGAGACCTCGTCCGGGGCGGCCGGCACCTCCTGGCCCAGCACCGAGCCCTGAGTCATCAACGCAGCCTGCTGCAGACTCGTGCCGAAGGGGTCCAGGTAGGGCCCCTTCCTCTCCTCCGCCACGGCCAGGGGGGGTCCCTGGCCCTGCACGCCCCAGGGGGGCAGGGGGGGTCCGCCGTAGCCCAGGGCGCTCAGCTCCAAGGGTTTACGCTTGCCCTCGCCGCCGGCCGCCTCCGCCTCGGGGTGCTGCTGGTGCCGGATCCGTGCCACTTTCTGGGGAGCCGGCCCGGGGGGGTTTTCCTTGGGGGGGCCCTTCTCTAAAGTGCAGCAGGAGGGACCGACCCGGACGCCCAGCGGGTCGGGGCGGGCGGCGCGGGAGCAGTCGGGCGCCGGCGGCACCTCAAAGTAGCCCTTCTCCAGAGCACCCTTGGGTGCCGGTCCCCGACCCGGGTAGGGGGGACCTTCAGCTGCCCCCCCACCACCACCACCCAGGTACTCCAGCCCCTTCAGCCGGGCACTGGGACCCCCCCACTCCATCCGCCGCTCCGCCGGCCCCTCTGCCTTCAGCGGGTGGTGGAAGGGGCCACCGTAGGCGGCGGGGGGCTCGGCCCCCGCCTCGGCGTGCCGCTCCTTGCCGTCGGCACGCTCCAGCCCCCCGGCCTCCGCCGTCACCTGGAAGGAGCGGCTCTTGTCCGTGAGGTGACCCACCGAGGGCACCAGCGTGGCCCCGCTCAGCTTCAGCTCCCGGCCGGCCGGCTCCGGCAGCGGGCACAGCACCTCGGGGCCGGCGTGGAGCTGCAGGCAGGGGAAGGAGCCGGCGGCGGGGCCGAGGGGGGCCGGGGCGGCGGGCACGGCGTAGGAAACGGCGTGGTGCAGCATCTGCCGTCGCTCCACGCACTCGCCGTAAGGCTGGGGGGGCACCTCGGGGGCCGTCGGCTCCCGCTCGCCCCGGCAGGGCTCCTTGGCACCGCAGCGGGCGGCGCGGGGCATGGCGCTGCCGGCACAGCTGGGCAACACGGCGCGGCCACCGTCGCCATCCAGCCCCTTGGCACCCAGCAGGCAGGAGGGGAGGTGCTTGGGGCGGCCGTCGCCGGACCCCCGGGGGGGCAGCCCTTCCTTGCAGTGCCCCTCCGGTGGCACCGGCAGCACCGCCTTGTGCCGCTCCTTGGGGTCCTCTTCGGGTGGTCGCTCCTTGGGGTCCCCCTTGCCCGCTTTCTCCTTGCCCGCCAGGAAGCGGTCGTAGTCCTTGGGGGTCTTGGGCAGGGGTCCCCCCTCCCGCTCCCGGCTGCAGGAGCCGGCGGGGGGCCCGGGGGCGGCGCGGGTGATGCCAGGGAAGCCGTGGCCGGTGGGGAGCAGGGCGGGCTGGGCGGGCAGGTTGCGCAGGTAGAAGTTATCTGGAGAGGGGAGGGCGACAGGTGAGCCCCCCCACGGCCCCCCCTCGTCCGACAACAACAGGGGTCCAGGTGCCCGGGGCTGTGGCCGTGCCAACGCCGGCTCCCCGCTAACGAGGGGAGGAGCGCGGGGGAAGGCACGGCCTAATTAGCTCCATTTCCCACCCAAACAATGTTCCCTATTAAGTGCCCGCCAAAATATTGTGAAAAGCGAGAGCGGCGGCGGTGGCTGGGCCGGGTGCCCACCACCCCGTGCCTGCCGGCCCCAAACCTCCCCGGGGACCTGGTGCTCCGCTCCCCCCTCCCCGACACCCGGCA